CCTGAATTCGATCTCTGGGACCCACATGGTGGAAGGCAGAAACTGACTCCTGAAAGCTATGCTCTGATCTCTCAGGTACACCATGGAGCACATAATACACACACACACACACACACACACACACACACACACACACACACACACACACACAATGTAATTATAATAATAATTTAAAGAGGAGTGGAGGGAAGGGCAGAGAAGGAGAGAATGGGAGGGAAGCTTTGTGCTCTTGGACCTGATAATGTCTTACATCTCTCGGCAGAAGCAGAGCAGCCGGCTGTGGTGCACACACCTGTCGTCCTAGCACTGTGGAGGGGGACAGAGGGGTCAGAAGTCGGGGTCAGCATGGTGTGCCTGTGGAGGTCGGAGGACAGCTTTTGTCCAGGCGGTTCTCTCCTTTCCCCATGTGAGTCTCAGAGATCAAACTTTGGTGAGGCCGGATGGCAGGTTCTCTACTCACTGAGCCATCTCACCACCAGTGCGTGACTTAAATAGTATGCCTTTGTCCAGTTTGGGAGCCAGGAGGTAGGAAACCGAGTGTGGCCCTCCCCCACTTCCAGCCCCGTGGCCAGGTGCCTACCTGGACAGTCTCTGTGCCTCTGCACGTGGACCAGATAGCCTGAGTAGCCTCAAGCATGTCGCTTGTACCCCAGCCTCAGCTCTGCCCCTGAGCAATGGGAATAATTACCACCTGTCTCACACAGGTGGGGGAGGACACAAGTTCAGCTTCTCTCTGTGTGACTGTACAGAAACGTTGAATTCGTAATTTTCTCTATTATTTTCCTACACACGATCTGAGCCAAAAGGCTGAGAGAAGTGCTTTTGTATTCATTCCCTATCAGCCTACCTTTCCAGAGTTTTCTATCCGCCTGACCTGCTAGTATTTTCAGCATGACAGAATTTTGTGGACTACCATGGCTGCCTTTCTCCTCTTCCCCTGGATGACCCCAAATGTCACACTGTCCTCCACATCACCGCTGGGCAGGCTCCCGCCCCTCTTGTCTGTCTGTTATCTGGGTGTGACTACTTGCCTTTCCCATACAGCTCCGATGGCTTCTACACACTGTTAGAAAGTCTTGGTGTTCACTACATCTCTACCCCAGGAGCCTCCTCTGGGGACGAAAGTCCTTTTTGTCATGGGCTTCCGGAGGGCATTATAGTGGCCTTTTCCTCCTCCTTGGCCTTGTCCTGTGTGCAGAGACTTGCCTTGGGGAGATGACATCACCTGGACAGCTGGCCGCTCCTTCTGCCCAGGCTGCCGGGCTGCTGCGGTACTTGGCTTGGCAGAGGGCTCCCTGAAAGGGAGTTTTTCAGCTCCCGTTGCAGTAAGGCTGCAAGGCTAACCATGCTGGGAGTTCCGTCCCACAGCAGCTGTCACGCCTGATTACTGAGAGCTGTGGGCGAGGTGATTCGGAGGACCCCTTATCTCCAGGAGCAGCCAGACTGCAAGGGGAGAGTGGAAGGTCAAGATGGAGGGCATGGTGGCTCCAACCCAAGCATGTGGGAGAAATGCTTCCTGGCAGCCAAGGACCATGGCACCAACTGGTTTTATTAATCAGCCCATGATGCTTGGGATGGAACCCAGGGGCTCCCTGTACTCTCTAGTACTGTATCACCGAGTTACATCCCCAGCTTGCCTTGTTGTTTTCTTTAAAAAAATTAATATATTTTTAGTTTATGTGCATGTGTTTTGCCTGCATGTATGTAAGTGCACCATGTGCATGCAATGCCTATGGAGGCCAGAAGACGACGTCGGATACCTTGGAAGTAGAGTTACAGAGAGCTGTTAGCTACTATGTAGGTATAGCAACTGAATCCAGGTCCTCTGTAAGAGAGCCAGAGCTCTTAACCACTGAGCCATCTCTCTAGCCCCTGCTTTTGTTGTTGTTGAGACAGAGTCTCCCTGTTGCCCCGGCTGGCCTAGAACTTACCATGTAGACCAGGCTGGCCTTGAGCTGGCAGAGATTCACCTGCCTCTGCCTCCTGAGTGTTGGGATTAAAGGCGTGTGCCACCAAGCTTGGCTGCACTCTTTCTTCAAGGACTTGTTTCTTTCTTTTGCAGGGTGCACACTAAGTCACACACATGATCAATATTGTATGCTCAGGCTGGCAGGTGTTCCTGGGCACACACAGTGCCAGAAGAGATTTCCATATGTGACCCAGAAAAGGAATCCTCACACTAATGAGGAATCCCATGTGACCTGGGGTGGGAGAGGGGTGTCCTTTACCATGTAGGGATATTGTCACTCTCCATCCTAAACTGTTAGTGTCCACAGCAAAGACTTGGAGTTTGGGGTGGTTTCCTCTGTGCTCCAGTGCCGTCATGTCTCTTTTTAAGCGCAGGCTACCCTGGGGCTTCCCATGTGGTCTAGACTGACTTCAAATTCATGGCAGTCTTCCTGAGGTTGTAGATGTGAACCATCATCATGCCCTGCTGGCTAACTTACCATTTTCTTGTTGTCCTAGGCATTAGTTTCTTAGAGCTATTGTAACAAATCGTCTCAGAATCAGGCTTAAAACAACAGTTTATTTTTTTTTTAAAAAATATTTTATTATTTTTATTTTACATGTATATGTGTATTGCCTGCATGTAGGTAAGTGCACCCATGTTGTGCAATGCCCGCGGAGGACAGAAGAGGCTGTCGGATCCCCTGGGACTGGAGTTACGGACAGTTGTTAGCTGCTATATGGCTGCTGGGATTCAAACCCGGGTCTTCTGCAAGAACAACCAATGTTCCTAACCGCTGATCCATCTCTCCAGCCCCCCTCTCCCCCTTTGATCCAGGCCCTCAAACATGCTAGGCAAATGCTCTAACATTGAGCTAGAGCCCCTCTCTCCCAGTTCCTCCTACTTTTTGTTTATTTTCTTGAGACAGGGTCTCACTATGTAGCCCAGGCAGGCCTTGAACTCATCCTCCTGTCTCGGCCTCCCAAATTCTGGGATTTACAGGTGAGCACTATCCCACCCATTTTTCCCCCTCATTTTAAAAATGGGAAAGAATCCAAGGCTTCGGGCATGTTAGACCAGACTGTACCCTGGCCACGTCCCAAGCAGACTGGCCCTGTTCCCAGGACTCTCGGTGCATGTGGAACAGCAGCACAGCGTGGCTCCTTCCTGCCACTCACTGGCGAATACCTTGAGGCCGCAGGACCATTGCGCTGCCTGGTGTTATGCCCTGTGCTGTCTCCCTTGACCTTCAGAAATCTTCTATTTATTTGGAAAAGATTTATTCATTCTGAACAAAAGAAACCAACCAAAATGGGCTTTGTAAAAACTACTGGGGTCCTAAGATTCAGTGGTGAGGTAAAATTGGAAGACGTGTATTCATGTTTTTTAAAAAAAATTTATTATTATTTTTATTTTATGTGTATGCGTGTATTGCCTGCATGTAGGTAAGTGCACCCATGTTGTGCAATGCCCGTGGAGGTCAGAAGAGGCTGTCGGATCCCCTGGGACTGGAGTTATGGACAGTTAGCTGCCATGTGGGTCCTGGGATTTGAACCTGCGTCTTCTGAAAGAACAACCAATGTTCTTAACCGCTGAGCCATCTCTCCAGCCCCTGTTTTTTTGGTTTTTTTTTGGGGGGGCAGTGTTGGGGGTTGAATACAGGAATTCAGTGATGAGTTTTAAGTGCCAAGGTTTGTTGTCTGGTGGACGGATTCAGCACTCTATAGTGGTAGCTTAAGTGCAGTTAGTGTTGCGATGCTTACTATTACTAAGTAGGAAAAACAAAGACTTTATTATAAATCTCCCTGCCCTGAGATATTCGACTTGTTTGTGCATCCTGGTGAACATGGTTATCATCTCTGTTGTGTTAAGGCAGGAAAGGAGATGAGCTTGTCGTTTCTGACTGCTAAGTTCCTTGCCATATGGATGTGTGCTGTTCAGCTCTGAAAGTTTACAGGTCTAGTGCAACAGTTAGAAGGTGGTTGATTATTCAGTCATTTGGATTTCAGTGAGGCACGCAGGCAGGCAGGCTTTTATAAGTAACCCTACACAGAGAAATGTGTTGGATCCTTGAATTTTTTTTTTTTTTTCTTTTTAGTACTGGGGATTGAATCACTGACCAGGGTAGTACTCTAGCATGTAGCTACATCCCTAGCCCCCCATTTAAAATGTTTTTATTTTGAGAGACTGTCTTACTAAGTTGCCCAGACAGGCCTTAAACTCACTCCATAGCCCTGGAAAGCCTTGAATTTACAGTCCTGCCTGTGCTCCTAAGCCCAACCAGATCTTTTCTTTTAAGATTGTTCATTTATTATCTATCTATCTATCTATCTATCTATCTATCTATCTATCTATCTATCTATCTATCATCTATCATCTATCATCTATCTATCTGTCATCTATCATCTATCTTTTTGAGACAAGGTCTCCCTGTTAGCCTAGAATTCACTATGCAGACCGGGCAGGCGTTGAACTCACAGAGGTCTGCCTGCCTCTGTCTCTGAAGTGCTGGGATTGTGTGTGTGTGTGTGTGTGTGTGTGTGTGTGTGTGTGTTGTATGTGTGTGGTGTATGTGGACTCTGTATGGGTGTACATGCCCATGCAGGGAGGCCAGAGGATGATACTGGGTGTCCTGCTCTTTCACTCTCTGATAGATTACCTTGAGACAGTGTCTCTCATGAATGTGGATCTAGGCTAGCTACTCCCTTGTCTCTGTCCCCTACCAGGTCTGAGATTACAGGTACACACGACCACATCGACTTTTTACATGGGTGCTGGGGATTTGAACTCAGGTCTTCCTGTTTTCTGAACAAGTGCTCTTGCTTGCTAAGCCGTCTCTCCAGCCCCAGATCCTTGAATCCTTCACTTCTGTGTGTGACAAGGATGCAGCTTCGTGCTCTTCACCAGTGGAGTGACAGCTGTGGGCTCTGGCCAGCCTGTGTTTGGTCCACACAGTTCCTGCCCGTTTGCCCTCTAACCTAAGCAGCCTTCCGGAGAAGAAGACTTTAAACTGTGGCCACTAAGGCACTCGTAGCAAAATTGTTAAACTTGTCAAAAGCTAAAGTTAAGAGGCTGGGCACATAGCACAGTGGTGGAGATCGGGCAGGTCTTGGAGAACCTTGAGTGCTGCCAGGAATTTTTAGGAGAGATTGAAACAGTTACCTTGGTGAGTGGAAGCTCTTAAATGACGTGACTCCTTAGAGTTCAGACTTTGGTTTTTATTCACCTGACCCCTAACCCTTTAAATCTTGGGTCTTGTAGTAACAAAATCTTTGACTAGAATCCTGCCATCTTTGTGATAAATCAAGGAGAGTTCAATGTTCCCTGTCTTAAGATAAATGGGATTTTCTTTCTTTTTCAGTCTTCTCCCTCACGCTGTCTTGCTGGGTCTAGCTCAAGGCCTTGGTGCTCCTTTCTGAGTGCTAGAGAGTCATAATTCTTTGCCATACTAACAGTGGTGTGTTCCCATGTCACAAATTCGAGGTCGACTCTGAAATTGAAAGAACAAATAGGGCGATTGCAAATGAATAGGTTTTCTTTTAAGCACCAGTGACTATTATCAAAGGACAGAGTGTGAACCCTGGACAGGGTGACCCCAGGAGAAAGAGGAGAGGAATAGGGGCGGTTAGAGGGTTCATGTCCCTTGCCGTCCCCCACTTCAAATCCCAGGGATCCTGCTGGAGAGAGAGGGTGGACTGTCCTCAAGGTGATTGTTTAGGTGGCCTCACAGGTTCCGTCCTGCCACATCTCTCACCTCCTCTGTCTTCCTCACTGTGCTGGCCGTGCACCCCCTTGCACCCCCTTCCTGTCTTTCCCATACGCGGCCGGTTTCTCTTGCACTCGCTGTGGAGTGGGCACTCCCTTCTCTTTCAAGCCTTGAGCTGATGCCACCTTCTCAGAGAGTCTACTTAGAATGCACCTTCTCCTCGCCCTTCACCAATTCACCTGTAGTCTTTTAAAAAATATGTATTATTTTATGGGCTGGAGAGATGGCTCAGTGGTTAAGAGCACTGACTGCTCTTGCAGAGGACCTGGGTTCAATTCCCAGCTCCCATAAGGCTGCTACAAACCATCCTTAACTCCAGTTCCAGGGGGATCCGAAGCCCTTTTCTGACCTTTGTGGCATTGCATGACACAGGTGCACTCATACACACAGGCAATACACTCATACACATACAATAAAAATAATAATAAAAAATATATATTATTTTATGTGTATGAGTGTATTGCCTGAATGTGTGCAAATGCACCCGTGTTGGGCACCCAAAGAACCCAGGTCCTCTGCAAGAGCAGCCATTGCTCTTAACTGCTGAGCCATCTCTCCAGCTCCTGCTGGTTTCCTTTTATATGTAGGAAAAGTGCTATAATTTTCCATCTCTAATTGGGTTCTTTTTCGTTCTTGGAATTGTAGCAGTGAAGGTACTTGTGGCCGTCTGACCGAGCGGCAGCAGCAGGCTGGTCTTTGGACCTGAAAGTCATGCTCTCTGCCACTCAGAGATGGGCTCTCGGAAGGAGGAGAGGACAGGCCATGAAGGAGAAGTCATGTCTTCTCTGGGGAGTGTAGGCCCTGTCTCTTTTCTCTTTGGGGTCTTTCCAGTTGTTCCCATGACAACTGTCAACTGTCATGGCACTAGGGTGCATCTTCTAGGTTGCCGGTGGCATTTTAATGGAATTAGAGATTAGCACGTGGCCACTCCAGCAGCCCCCTTGGATCCAGTGGGTTCTGCCCAGCCCTCCTGAAGAGGGGCTTCTGGCCTTCAGGTAGAGATGCAGCGAGGAGGCCAGGCATGGTGGCACATGCCTGTAGTCCCAGCACTTGGGAGGCAGAGGCAGGAGGATCTCTGTGAGTTCCAGGCCAGCCTGGTCTACATAGCAAGTTCCAGGCCAGCAGGGGAGACCTACCAGGAGATCCTGTCTCAAAAACGCCAAAAAA